GACATGGCTATTCCAACAAGCGGGACTGGCCTAGGGCAATTTTTAGAGGGGTTTTAATCATATTTTAATTCGACTATATTTAAATATTTCTTTTTAATTAATTTTAATTCTGTAATTGTTTTGGTGTATTTTTAATCGATTGTCAGCCGCCCTGAGTCCGCAAGGAGAAGGGCGGGATATAAATTTAATAAATAAATAATAAATAAATAAATAAATAAACCTCTACATCAAACTCAGTCTGCTATCTGTGGCCTTTTCTGTAAAATAGCAATCCAGAGGAAAAACTTCGATAGCTACTTGAGAGTAGAAGATGGAAATAAGTAAAGGCATAACTGGGTAGGAATGGAAAGTACTTAGTCATATTTCCAGTAAAGCTGCTGGTTTCCTTGAGAAATGGATTTGTCCAGATGCCATACAAATTAGGACAAAGATGTACTATTGTTGTGAACAGAAAAAGAAGTAGAAAGTGTCTCACACTTCCAGTTCCCTCACAATTCATCATCCAAAAATAGAATCTGCTTTTGCATGCACACACACAAAAAATACACAAGCTGGCATATTGGTGATGGAAATGTGAAAATGCTGTTTTGAGCAAGATGAATAAATTACCTCCTACCATAATACAATTATTTAAATGTAATTATTTTCTGAAGAACCCAAGAAACAGTTAAATTTAGAGAAAATGGAGTTCCTGACAGTAAAGTCATATTCCTGGTTTTGCAGGAGCAATTATCAGTTGCACACACCGGCTGTACAGACCTTGCATATTTGTGATTGCAGTATTTGTTTCAGTGCTGAAACCCAACTCTACTCACAGCCTGTCCCAAACCAGACTTAGATGAAAATCCTAGAACAGGGTTTCTCAACCTTGGCAACTTTAAGATGTGTGGACTTCAACTCACAGAATTCCCCAACCAGCATGCTGGCTAGAGAATTCTGGCAGTTGAAGTCCATACACCTTAAAAGTTGCCATGGGTGAGAAACCATATCCTAGAGACAAAGCAAAGACTTACCAGCATTTGGGATGCTGAGTGGGGGAATGATTCAAGCTACCCACTGTAGTTGGCTCTTTTGACTTGCTGAGAAGGAATTCTTGAAGTTTCAGCTTCACTTCAGTGCTTGCAATAGCACCTTTAAAAATTATAGAAAAACACTGGTAGAGAACATTAAAGACAAGTTGAGATGTATCTCCCTTCCCTAACCTGGTTCCATGCAGATGTGACCTTCAATTCTCACAAGTATGCCAGTGAAATGTGTTCAGCAACACTACCCTTCTCATCTCACAACCTGTTTTTAAACTCCCTTCCACATCTATCAAGCTTATAAAAGGGAAAAAAACCACTTCCCCCTAAGCACTCTGGGAAGAATTTTTATCATATCATCTTTCACATATTCCTGAAAAATTCCATCATAAAGCTACATTTTATTGTAATTTTTATCATTCTTTATACATTCATTATGAGGTGGAGGATACAACATCAATTGACGAGCCAGACACAGTAGTGCATCCAAAACTGCGCCAAAGTTTATCCTCTTTAAGTCTGTTACACAGTCCCAAATCAGGGATATGTCACTTGAAGTCTGCTATTGAGACCACTCAATTGAGCCCATCTCCACGTTGCTGTTGACACAGATAATTGTTGGTAAGCTGTAAAGAGCCTAGTCATGCTGGAGAAATGCAGAACACATGGTAAATCTCTCCATCTAGAGTGGAAAATAATTTACGCATGTTTATGAGTGTATAGAAGTGCATCTATGTACTGCCTATGTGCAAGGTTGACTATGTGTACAGCCATGGGTACTCAACTCACCATAAATTGCCACAGTTAACCTTCAAAGGGAAAAATGATTGCTCATCTTTGTTCTAAAAATAACTCCCAAAGATTGAAGATTTGTGAAGAATCTGAAAATTAATTTGCAAAGATTCTCCATTTAAATACTGTTTTTAAAACTCTACAATTTGAAGAGAAGTGCAGTAGCAAAGAAGCCTAACTTTGGCTTGAAAGCCAAGTTCAACTATTTATTTATACCTTTATGTTGCTAAGATACTTGTGAGGGCAATTTTAATTATTTGAGTGGGTTTAGGTCCATGAGGGTTGTTTTGAAATCTGGTTCTCTGTATGGTGTTTTAGGAATAGGAGAATGTAATCCTCCAACTCTCTCTAGTTTCTTCTTCAAGTCCTTGGAATATAAATGGGCTATTGTTCCAATAAATGCAGTGCAATGCAATTAAAACTTATTACTTTCTTTGCTTTTCTCCTTGTTGCGTAAGATGAGTAACTGCTGTTCCAGGCGCTGTTTCTCCAATTCTTCTTGCCGCTGTTGTTCTCGTTTATGCTGTTGCTCTAGTTCTTGTTGACGCTTTGCTGCCAACATCACCTGCTGTTGCTACAAAAAGGGAGAGGGAGAGAGTCAACCACCACCAAACGCAATTGTGTGTGTACTTGAGCTTATATTGTGTATGAATGTCACATATAAAATCCAGACATACATTTATGGGTCACTGTATGCCATTTTTCAGATACAGACTTCAACTTCAATATCAAAGCTGGAAAAAGTGAATTAAATTGTCTCCACCCATCAGAAACTTTTATCTTCCAATAATTGTTACTTGATAAAACTTCTGAGTGACAGGCAAAGTTATAACAAAGTTTCTTTCTAAGAGATTTTAGCCATCTGGAAGTCTCCACTAAGAAAGCAATCATGGAAATCCTATTCCCATGTATAAAACTTTTCCATTACTCAATCATCTGAGGTCTTGCCTCCTGCTTCTCTAGCATCTGAAATACAATGGAAGATTATGCAAAAAAAATAACAGCAGTAGTAGCATTAATGCTCTGAAATGTCCTTCAAGAGGCGGTCCATATTTGCTTTTACATTACCTTTTCAGAGCATATTTGCATTTTGTAGTAATTCAGATTTCTCTTGATCTTATTGGCTGAGGGTTTCTTTTTTGTGTTGTTCTTACCTAATATTTTATGGCCTGTCAGATGTTACAACTTTTTTTACAGGATTTATGCTTCTTTCTTATTTCTGTGCTTGGCTCCCTTGGTAGGCAAAAAGTCAAGCTTGGGTTCTGTATACCCAAGTTGTCCACTATCTAAATTTTTCATTTCTGTATTTATGTAAACCATTTCTACCAAAGCCCATATCCTTCCTCTTTCCTTTCTCTAAGCTGTTCTTTCCTAGTCTGGATAAAACCTCTTGTTGTCACTGTTTAATTGGTATTAGTGTCAACACATAAAAATAAATTTTGGTTTGATAAATGCAGACACCAAAAGCATTCTAAAATCATTACATTAAAAGTCAGAAACTTGAATTAGATAATAAAGTAACAATACTTTTTCCCAAACTTCCATTTATTTTACAAGCAGCTACACTAGGGGTGATGGAATTAGGAGTGAAATCACAAGCATCACCCCTGAAGACTATTTGCCATACTAGGTTCCATTGTCTGCACTGATACCTTCAGAAGAAAACTGCAGAAAATACAAACAGGACAGAAATTAAAAGATAAATAAATAGGCATATAATAAGGACAAGAGTGGAACATTAGAAATCAAGGAAGAATAAGATTAAAATAGAGAGAAATCTTAACAAGGCAAATCTTTAATAGGGTAGGAAGGAATTGGAGCTCAAAAACTTTAAAAAATATAGGGAAGAAAAGGATAAATAAAACTAACATAATAGTAAGCAAGTTAAATAAATAACAAGGTAGAAAAACGAGCACAAAAAGGAAGAAAAAAGGATAGAAAAAAAAACAGGCATAATTACCTAGAACAGAGAAGGTAGAAACAAGGCTAACAGCAAAGCACATCCATCAACCAAAAAAGAGGGATTTTCAAACAACAAATTCATGGAACAGGTGACTGATACTATTATGGCATGTAATAATAATAATAATAATAATAATAATAATAATAATAATAATAATAATAATAATAATAATAATAATAATAATAATAATAGTAAAGTTGGAAGGGACCTTGGAGGTCATCTAGTCCAACCCCCTGCTCAGGCAGGAAACCCTATACCATTTCAGACAAATGGCTGTCCAGTCTCTTCTTAAAAACCTCCAGTGTTGGAGCATTCACCGCTTCTGGAGGCAGGTTGTTCCACTGGTTAATTGTTCTAACTGTCAGGAAGTTTCTCCTTAGTTCTAGGTTGCTTCTCTCCTTGCTTAGTTTCCACCCGTTGCTTCTTGTCCTGCCTTCAGGCGCCTTGGAAAATAGCTTGTCACCCTCTTCTTTGTGGCAGCCCCTGAGATATTGGAACACTGCTATCATGTCACCCTCGTCCTTCTCTTCATTAAACTAGACATACCCAATTCCAGCAGCCGTTCCTTATATGCTTTAGCCTCCAGTCCCCTAATCATCTTTGTTGCTCTTCTCTGTACTCTTTCTAGAGTCTCAACATCTTTTTTACATCGCAGTGACCAAAACTGGATGCAGTATTCCAAGTGTGGCCTTACTAAGGCATTGTAAAGTGGTATTAATACTTCACGTGATCTTGATTCTATCCCTCTGTTAATGCAGCCTAGCACTGTGTTGGCCTTTTTGGCAGCTGCAGCACACTGCTGGCTCATATTTAGCTGATTGTCCACTAGGACTCCGAGGTCCCTCTCACAGTTACTACTATTGAGCAAGGTACCCCCTATACCAGGGGTAGGCAACCCAAAACACTCAGAGAGCCACTTGGACCCGTTTCCCACTGAAAACAAAACACTGGGAGCCGCAAAACTCTTTTGATATCTAAAATGAAGATAACACTGCATATATCCTTTTTTACCTTATATATATATGTGTGTGTGTGTGTGTGTGTGTGTCTGTATATGTTTGTGTGTGTATATATAAAATAAAGGTAAAAAGATATATGCAGAGTTATCTTCATTTTAGATGTCAAAAGGGTCTCTCTCTGTCTCTCTCTTTCTCTTCTCTTTCTCTTTCCTTTTCTCTTTCTTCTTTTTCTCTCTTTCCTCTCCCCCTTTCTTTATCTTTCTCTCTCTTTCCCTCTTTCCTCTTTTTCTTTCTGTCTCTCTTTCTCTTTCCCTCTTTCCTCTTTCCTCTCTTTCTCTTCTCTTTCCTCTCTCTCTTTTCTCAATCTTTTTTCTCTTTCCTTTTTCTTTCCCCCTTTCTTTCTCTCTTTCCTCTCTCTCTCTCTTTCCTCTCCCTTTCTCTCCCTCTTTCCTCTCCCCCTTTCCTCTCCCTTTCTCTCTTTCTCTTTCCTCTTTCTCTCTTTCCTCTCTCTTCTCTTTCCTCTTTTTCTCTTTCTCTTTCCTCTTTTTCTCTCTTTCTTTCCTCTCCTTTTTCTCTTTCCTTTCTCTCTTTCCTCTAACTTTCTCTTTCTGTTTCTTTCTCTCTTTCCTCTTTCTTCCTCTTTCCTTTAACTTTCTCTCTCTCTCTTTCCTCTCTCTTTCCTCTCTCTTTCGGAAAGAGAGAGAGAGAAAGTTAAAGGAAAGAGGAAGAAAGAGGAAAGAGTCTTTCCTCTTTCTTCCTCTTTCCTTTAACTTTCTCTCTCTCTTTCCTCTCTCTTTCTTTCTCTGTCTCTGTCTGTCCCTGTCTCTCTTTCCTCTCTCTTTCTCTTCCTCTTTCCTCTAACTTTCTCTCTCTTTCCTCTCTCTTTCTCTGTCTCTTTCTCTTTCTCTCTTTCCTCTTTCTCTCTTTCCTCTCTTTCTCTTTCCTCTTTCCTTTCTTTCTCTTTCCTCTTCTCTTTCCTCTTTCTCTCTTTCCTCTCTTTTTCTCTCTCTGTCTCTTTCTCTTTCCCTCTTTCCTCTCTCTTTCTTTCCTTTCTCTCTTTCCTCTTTCCTCTTTCCTCTCTCTTTCTCTTCTCTTTCCTCTCTCCCTTTTCTCAATCTTTTTTCTCTTTCCTCTCCCCCTCTTTCTTTCTCTCTTTCCTCTCTTTCTCTTTCCTCTCCCTTTCTCTCCCTCTTTCCTCTCCCCCTCTTTCTTTCTCTCTTTCCTCTCTTTCTCTTTCCTCTCCCTTTCTCTCCCTCTTTCCTCTTTTTCTCTTTCCTCTCCCCCCTTTCCTCTCCCTTTCTCTCTTTCTCTTTCCTCTTTCTCTCTTTCCTCTCTTCTCTTTCCTCTTTTTCTCTTTCTCTTTCCTCTTTCTTTCCTCTCCTTTTTCTCTTTCCTTTCTCTCTTTCCTCTAACTTTCTCTTTCTCTGTTTCTTTCTCTCTTTCCTCTTTCTTCCTCTTTCCTTTAACTTTCTCTCTCTCTTTCCTCTCTCTTTCCTCTTTCTTCCTCTTTCCTTTAACTTTCTCTCTTTCCTCTTTCTTTCTCTGTCTCTGTCTGTCCCTCTCTTTCCTCTCTCTTTCTCTTCCTCTTTCCTCTTTCTTTCTCTCTCTCTTTCCTCTCTTTCTCTGTCTCTCTCTTTCTCTTTCCTCTCTTTCTCTTTCCTCTTTCTCTTTCCCTCTTTCCTCTCTTTCTCTTTCCTCTTTCTCTTTCTCTCTTTTCTCTTCTCTTTCTTTCCTCTCTTTCTCTTTCTCTCTCTTTCCTCTTTCTCTTTCCTCTTTCTCTCTCCTCTCTCTTTCTCTCTTTCTCTTTCCTCTTTCTCTCTTTCCTCTTTCCACTCTTTCTCTTTCCCTCTCTTTCCTCTCTCTTTCTCTTCTCTTTCTCTTTCCTTTTTTCTTTCCTCTTTTTCTCTCTTTCCTCTCCCCTTTCTTTCTCTTTCTTTCCTCTCTCTTTCCCTCTTTCCCTCTCTTTCTCTGTCTCTTTCTCTTTCCCTCTTTCCTCTCTCTTTCTCTTTCCTCTTTCTCTCTTTCCTCTCTTTCTCTTCCTTTCCTCTTTCTCTCCCTCCCTCTCCCTCCAGGTTAGGAGAGAGAGAGAATGAAAGGCAGATGGCGCCGAACGGGCAGGGAAGGGGAGCAGGAGCAGAACGGGAGGCAGCAGCTCCCGGCCGCCGCCCCCATCGCCTCCTCAGCCGAACGGGCGGGCATGGGGAGCAGGACAGGAGGCAGCGCCTCCCGGCCGCCGTCCCCATCGCCTCCTGAGCCGAACGGGTGGGGATGGGGAGCAGGACGGGAGGCAGCAGCTCCCGGCCGCCGCCCCCATCGCCTCCTCAGCCGAACGGGCGAGCATGGGGAGCAGGACGGGAGGCAGCGCCTCCTCAGCCGAACGGGTGGGGAGGGGGAGCAGGACGGGAGGCAGCAGCTCCTGGCCGCCGCCCCCATCGCCTCCTCAACCGAACGGGCGGGCATTGGGGAGAAGGACGGGAGGCAGCGGCTCCCGGCCGCTGCCCTCGGCGCATCCTCGGCCGAACGGCCAGGGAGGGGGAGCAAGGCGGGAGGTAGCGGCTGCGCCGGCAGCCACTGCAGCATCGTCGGGGTCCCTGCCCCCGGCCCGGCCGCCGCCCCTGCTGCATCCTCAGCCACTTTGCCGTCGCAAGAGGAGGGCGCCAAGGCCGGGTGCACCATGGGCGGCCGTGCCGGCAACGAGTGCAACCCCCCAAAAAGGAAGGCGGGTGTTGGTAATAGGAGATTCTATCCTCAAAGAAACAGAAGCAGCCATCTACAGACTGGACATACAATCCAGGGAGGCATGTTGTCTCCCTGGAGCAAAAATCTAAGATGTCGCTGAGAACCTAACCAAAATAATTAGGCCCACAGATTACTACCCTTTCCTCCTCCTACACATTGGGATGAATGACACAACAAAGAACCTGAGTACAATAGTGAGAGACTATAAGCAACTATGCAATAAAGTTAAGGAGCTAGGAGCACAAGTAGTGTTCTCATCAGTACTCATCAGTCATTTTCATAGCATACTATGGTGCCCTTTAGTGAAACAGATCTACAAAAAGAGGAGGGGGAGTTGCACTATATGTAAGAGTACACTACATATCTACAGAAATGCACATGATCAAAAATAAAATCCCTCCAGAATGTTTATGGGTCAATATAAAAGG